ATCACTGGGTGTCCTGTGGAGGGACTACATGGGGATGGAAACCCTGGGTACTTCAAACGGCCATCTCTGTGTGTGGGATGGGACCCTAGTGACCAGTTGTGGGGTATCACTGGGTGTTCTATTGAGGAACTACATGGGGATGGGAACCCTGGGTACTTCGTATGGTGATCTGTGTGGGAACTTACATGGGATGGGATGGGACCCTAGTGCCCAGTTCTGGGGTATCACTGGGTGTCCTGTGGAGGGACTACATGGGGATGGGAACCCTGGGTACTTCGTATGGTGATCTGTGTGTGGGATGGGACCCTAGTGACCAGTTCTGGGGTATCACTGGGTGTCCTGTGGAGGGGGACTGAGACTGAAGCATCGGCTGGTAATATTTCCCATAAAGCTCAAAAGTTAGTAAAATAACCAACAAAAAGGACATTTACCAGGTAGAGGGACCAGTTAGAGGAAGGAGTGGGGGAGGGGGATGACCACCAAAGTACATTTTGTCGGCCGGCGTGGAGTTGGGACACTGTCATTATTCCCCCCCTTCTCCCTGGGGGAATCTCTGGGATTCTTCCTCTATCATCACACAATAATAAGCCCCCCCAGCGGTGTTTGTTCTGGTAAATTCCCGGATGTCACCTCTTTGTCCCCGGGGCGGTTCTGGCTCCAGGAGACACATTGTGCAGAACTGTCTTTGATCTCTCCGGGATGTTTATGTTTTGCAATTATTGATGTGATGAGTTGTAGGATTCCCTCTGTGCGTGCTGAGCGCCCTTCATACAGCCAGGTGAGGAGGGGGGGGGAGTAGGTTGGTGCACTTCATGTAGCCAGGTAGGGAGGGATGGGGACCCCAAACTCTTGGTTGGGTGATGGGAACCCTAGAAACTTCATACAGTGAGGTCAGAGGAACCCTGTACACCCTTCATATAGCAAGGAGGGAGGGATTGGAACCCCAGGCAATGAGGTTTTTGAGGGATGGACACCCCAAACTCTTGGTTGGGGGATGGGAACCCTAGAAACTTCATACAGTGAGGTCAGAGGAACCCCGGACACCCGTCATATAGCCAGGAAGGAGGGATGGGAAACCCAAAACTCTTCATGTGGTGAGATCAGGGGGATGGGAACCCCAAACTTTTTTTTTTTTTTTTTTTATGAGGTTTTAGGGACGGACACCTGGAACTCTTCATATGGTGGGGTTTGGGAAATGGGAGCACCAGGCACATCATATAGTCAGGTTGAGGGGATGGGGAACCCCAGACATGTCATACAGCCAGATTGGGGGGATGGGGAACCCCAGACATTCCATATAGCTAGGTGGGGGGATTGGAAGCCAAGACTCTTCATGTGATGAGGGTAGGGGGATGGGAACCCCTGTGGGTGGAGGATTATAACTTTTTTTTTTTTTTATGGTTCAACTGGATGGACTTTTGTCTTTTGTCAGGCAGACTATGTGACTCTTTTTGGATGAGGTTTGAGGAATGGACCCCCTAAAATTTGCATATGGTGAGGTTAGTGGAATGGGAACCCCAGGAACTTCTTACAGGCAGGTTGGAGGGATGGGGACCCCGGACACTTCTTACAGCCAGATGGGGGGGATGGATCGGAGCCCTAAACTCTTCATGTGGTGAGATCAGAGTGATGGTAACGCCAAGCTCTTCATATGATGAGGTTGGAGAGAAATGGGAACCCCGGGACACGTCACACATCCAGATGGGGAGCGATGGGAACCCCGGACATCATTCAGCCATATGGGGGGTTTGGACCCCCCAGACACGTCATAGAGGCAGGTTGGAGTGATAGGAACCCTGAACACTTCATACAGCCAGATGGGGGGGAAGGGAACTATGGGCATGTCATACATCCAGATGGGGGGGATGGGTACTTGTATACGTCATACAGGCAGGATGGAGTGATGGGAACCCCTGACACGTCATACAGCCAGATGGGAGGGGATGGGAATCCCGGGCACGTCATACAGCCAGATGGGAGGGGATGGGATCCCCGGACACGTCATACAGCCAGATGGGAGGGGATGGGATCCCCGGACACGTCATACAGCCAGATGAAGGGATGGATGGCAACCCCAGACTTGTCATACAACCAGATGGGGGTGGGGAAGGGAATCCCGGACACGTCATACAGCCAGATGGGGACCCTGGACATGTCATACTGGCAAGTTGGAGAGATGGGAACCCCAGACACATACAGCCAGATGGGAGGGCATGGGAACCCCGGACACGTCATACAGCCAGTTGAAGGGGGGGAAGGGAACCCTGGACACGTCATAGATGCAGGAGGAAGGAATTGGAACCCCGGACACGTCATACAGCCAGATTGGGGGGGGGGGGGGGATGGGAACCCCGGACAAGTCATACAGCCAGATTGGGGGGGGTGGGAACCCTGGACACGTCATACAGCCAGATGGGGGGGAGGATGGGAATCCCGGACACGTCATACAGGCAGATTGGGGGGGGGAGGATGGGAATCCCGGACAATATATCCTCTAAGTCAAGTAATTGGGCCTGTATACCCCCTTGCCTGATTAGAGGATCTGTGTTAAAATACTTCTACCTCAATCTGAGGCCCGTATTACACTTCCCCCCCCCCCCCCCCCCCCCATAGGGCCCATCACACTCTCTATTCCATTGACAGATGTCAGTAGCTTGGTTTGTACCCCAATAACCCCCCCCTCCCCCCCTTTCCCTATGAGAGATGTAATATTTACCTGCCCAGCGGGCCGTGACTCCAATCTTTGCTCTGTTGAGTTGTCGGATGGCAGCGACACCCGGAGCTCTTCCAGTGCCAGGATCGGAGTCACGGCCCCTGGAGGGTAAATATTGCACTTCTCTGTCAAGGTGCCGCTGACCTGATCCATGCGGACTGGAGGCCGGGTCACTTTACACCCTCCAGAATATTATGGGGGTCTCTGGTGATGATGAATGTGGGTGCCCCCCCGCCTTCCCGGGATTGGATCCTCCCTGGTGCCGATGAGCCCAATCACAATCGGATGCGGCCCGTGTATTGGCGTTTGGACAGTTTTTATCCTGACAGGTTCTCTTTAGGAATGTTGCCGGTACCATCCCTGGGAGGTGAAGCTGCACTATGGCAAGGCTGGACAAATCTGATTGGATTCTGGGAGCCACCTAAAAAAGTTAGGAGCCAGTTTTTTTTTTTTTTTTTTTTTTTTTTTTTTAAAGCAACAAAGCTTTATTTTCTACGACAAACTTCTCTTTTGTAGCCCAGATGTGTATTTTTACAGCTGCACGGCACAGGTTTGGGCACAGCTAAGCCTCTCAGCTTCTGCCTATGAGCCTTGCCGTGCTGGTTGGGCTCCAAGACGCCGTCCAGGACTTGGTGACCCCATGGAGGACCCGCTAGTCCAGGAGAAGGCACCGGTAACATGCAGCAGGTCAGGCACTGATGGCGGCAGAGGTGGTGAGGTTGGGCCATGAGAAGACTCACTCTGTTCGGGGATTCCTGCCAGCAGCGCCCCTCTCAGTTCAGCGGCACATGAATTTTTGTCCATCCCGCTTGTCCTTCAGGAAACTTCCTACTCAAGTCCGGCCGTTCATTTAGTCCGGCTCGATCGAAGTGCCGTGGGACATGGAGTGCAGCGGGATAGGCAAAGCCGCTAGGCGGGCCCCATGATCATTGACGCTGCTTTCCCCTGGAGCCAACTGTGAATAGGCTGACAAAAGCCCAGGCGCCAGGACGCTATTACTATTTGCCACGGCGACCGGCGCCTGGGATCTGTGGAGCCCGCCACAATGTATTCACAAGGACTGCTTGCCTGTCCAATGGAGGCGCCGCTACATTGTCTGCAGTGGTTACAATACATTGATTGCAGTGGTTGCGTTGGTTACAGTAGTTACATTTACACGGGTTACATTTACACGGGTTACATTTACACGGGTTACATTTACACGGGTTACATTTTACAGGGTACACAGGTTGCAGTACACGGGTTGCAGTACACGGGTTACATTGGTTACAGTACACGGGTTGCAGTACACGGGTTATATTACAGAGGTTACATTGGTTACATTACACTGGTTAAGTTTGGTTACATTATATGAACTACACAAGTTACATTGGTTACATTACACGGGTTACACTGGTTACATGGGTTAAATTACACGGGCTATATTACATTAGTTACGTTTTATCAGTTACATTAATATGATTACATGGGTTACATTACTCGGGGTACATTACTCGGGGTACATTACTCGGGGTACATTACACTGGTTACTCGGGGTACATTACTCGGGGTACATTACAATGGTTACATTACTCGGGGTGCATTACTCGGGGGTACATTACAATGGTTACATTACTCGGGGTGCATTACTCGGGGTGCATTTACTCGGGGTGCATTACTCGAGGTACATTACACTGGTTACATACTCGGGTACATTACTCGGGGTACATTACTCGGGGTACATTACACTGGTTACTCGGGGTACATTACTCGGGTACATTACTCGGGGTACATTACTCGGGGTACATTACAATGGTTACATTACTCGGGGTGCATTACTCGAGGTACATTACAATGGTTACTCGGGGGTACATTACTCGGGGTACATTACTCGGGTACATTACTCGGGGTACATTACAATGGTTACATTACTCGGGGTGCATTACTCGAGGTGCATTACAATGGTTACTTGGGTTACATTACTCGGGGGGTACATTACTCGGGTACATTACACTGGTTACTCAGGGTGCATTACTCGGGGTGCATTACTCGGGGTGCATTACTTGGGGTACATTACACTGGTTACTCGGGGTGCATTACTTGGGTACATTACACTGGTTACTCGGGGTGCATTACTTGGGGTGCATTACTCGGGGTGCATTACTTGGGGTACATTACTCGGGGTACATTACTCGGGGTGCATTACTTGGGGTGCATTACTCGGGGTACATTGATCCACAACATTCATGACGTTTCTTCTGTCTGATTGGAGAATTGCTGACGGCTGTGAAATGATTTCTGTCTGCAGATCCTCCCGCTCTGTTATGCTGCACTCAGACTCTCTCCGCTCATCGAGAAGATCAACGACCACAAAGACTTCAAGAAGCTTCTCCGAACCCGAAACAATGTGCTGGTGCTGTATTCCCAGTCAGGTGAGATTATAGGGTCTGTGCTATAATACACCTCCCCCACCACTGCATGAGATTAGAGGGTCTGTGCTATAATACACCTCCCCCACCACTGCGTGATATTAGAGGGTATGTGCTGTAAAACACCTCCCCCACTGTGTGAGATTAGAGGGTCTGAGCTATCAAACACCTTCTCCACCATGTGAGATTAGAGGGTATGTGCTATAATACCCCCCCCCCCCCATATGAGATTGAAGGGTATGTGTCATAGTACACCCAACCCCCCCCATATTGTCTGAGATTAGCGTTTCTGTGTTATAATACACCTCCCCCCCACTGCACAAGATTAGAAGGTCTGTGCTATAATATACCCCCCTTCTCCACTGCATGAAACTAGAGGGTCTGAGCTATCAAACACCTCCCCCACTGTGTGAGATTAGTTAGAGGGTATGTGCTATAATACACCCCTCCCTGCATGCCATTATAGGGTCTATGTTATAATACACCCCCCCCCCCATATGTGATTGAATGGTCTGTGTCATAGTACACCCCCCCATATTGTGTGAGATTAGTTGGTCTGTGTTATAATACACCTCCCCCACTGCACGAGATTAGAGGGTCTGTGCTTTATACACCCCCCACCACTGTGTGAGATTAGAGGGTCTGTGCTATAATACACCCCCCCCCCCCACTGTGTGAGATTAGAGAGTCTCTGTTATAATATATCCCCCCCCCCCACACACACACACACACGCTCCTCCACTGCATGAGATTAATGAGATTAGAGAGTCTGTGCTATAAAACACCCTCCCCCACTGTAAATAAAGGGTCTGTGTTATAATGCACCAATCCTACCGTGGAAGATATGAGGGTTCATGCTACAATACACCCCCCACCCCAGGGGAGATTAGAGGCTACGATTTTATAGTACGCCCCCCCAACAAAGGCGCTATAACGCCCTCCCTTCCAGAGGAGATTAGAGGGTCCACTTCTTACATTACAACCCCCCCAAGTCAAATTAGAGGGCCCTCATTACAATAGAGCCACCCAAATGAGATGAGAAGATCTATATTATAGAACCCCCCCCCCCCTCCATGGGGCCGATGATCACACTATTACATTGCTAGGCTTCAGCAACTGGAGGCCCCATTGCGGGATGCGCACCCCCCCTCCTCCCCCCCCCCCCCCCCCCCTTTCCTATAAGAAGTGCGATATTTACCTGCCCAGCGGGCCGTGACTCCAATCTTTGCTCTGTTGAGTTGTCGGTTGGCAGCGACACCCGGAGCTCTTGCAGTGCCAGGATCGGAGTCACGGCCCCTGGAGGGTAAATATTGCACTTCTCTGTCAAGGTGCCGCTGACCTGATCCATGCGGACTGGAGGCCGGGTCACTTTACACCCTCCAGAATATTATGGGGGTCTCTGGTGATGATTAATGTGGTGCGCCCCCCCCTGCCCCTTCCTGGGATTGGATTCTTCAGTCTGAACCTTGACCCGATCCGGCCCACGTATTGGCACATGACGTGTTGGCTGTCTTGCCCTCGTGTTGGTTTGTACAGTTTTATATTCTGACAGGTCCTCTTTAGGAATGCCTTATATTGAGAAAGCTTCTATCGGTTTGTGTGCCTTGCAGCTCACGGGGCGGAGCGTCAGCTGAAACTACTGTCAGACGTGGCCCAGGACGTGAAAGGAAGAGCCACGGTGTCATGGATCGACTGCGGGTAAGCAAGGAGGATCATGGGCGGGGGGTGCCGGGCGGTGGGTGGAAGATGCCCAGACATAAAGGATAACCAGGCTTTCCTTAGTAATCCTCCAGGATGGTAGGTTTCATGTGGTCGTCATGGAGGATTCCTGGAAAGGGTGTTACTGGGTACTAATGCACAATTTTCCATATGGAGGATTCCTGGAAAGGGCGTTCCTAGGTTCTAAGCACAATTTATTGTCATGGAGGATTCCTGGAAAGGGTGTTACTTCGTACTAATGCACAGTTTATCATCATGGAGGATTCCTGGAAAGGGTGTTACTGGGTACTAATGCACAATTTCTTGTCATGGAAGATTCCTGGAAAGGGTATTACTGGGTATTAATGCACAATTTCTTGTCATGGAGGTTTCCTGGAAAGGGTGTTACTGGGTACTAATGCACAATTTTCCATATGGAGGATTCCTGGAAAGGGCGTTCCTAGGTTCTAAGCACAATTTCTCGTCATGGAGGATTCCTGGAAAGGGTGTTACTGGGTACTAATGCACAATTTCTCATCATGGAGGATTCCTAGAAAGAGCGTTACTGGGTACTAATACACTATTTATCATCATGGAGGTTTCCTGGAAAGGGTGCTACTGGGTACTAATGCACAATTTAAAATGGAGGATTCCTGGATAGGGCGTTCCTAGGTTCTAAGCACAATTTATCATCATGGAGGATTCCTGGAAAGGGTGTTCCTGGGTACTAATGCACAATTTCTCATTATGGAGGATTCCTAGAAAAGGCATTACAGGGTACTAATGCACAATTTATCGTCATAGAGGTTTCCTGGAATGGGTGTTACTGGGTACTAATCCACAATTTTCCATATAGAGGATTCCTGGAAAGGGCTTTCCAAGGTTCTAAGCACAATTTCTCGCCATGGAGGATTGCTGGAAAGGGCGTTCTTGGGTACTAATGCACATTTTCTCATCATGGAGGATTCCTTGAAAGGGTGTTACTGGGTACTAATGCACAATTTCTTATGCCATGGTTGATTCCTGGAAAAGATACTAGATACCATTTTCTTTCAGTCATCCTCCAGGATGATCACATGAAACCTACCATCATGAAGGATTCCTGGAAAAGTTACCAGATACAAATTCACATTTTTCTTTAGTCATCCTCCAGGATCGCAAGAAACTTACTGTCGTGGGGGATTGCTGGAAAGTTACCTGATACTAAATCACGTTTTCCAAGGTCATCCCCCAGGACGATCACATGAAACCTACCATCATGGAGGATTTGGGAAAATGTAGTTAGCAGTTACTAACTCACAATTTCTCCCAGTCATCCCTCAGGATGATCACATGAAACCTATGATCATGAAGGATGATGGAAAAGCTACCAGATACTAAATAATTTTCCTTCAGTCATTTTCCAGGGTGATAACATGGAATCTATTGTCATGGATTCTTACAATAGTTACCAGGTAGTAAGTCACTTTTTCCCTGGTCATCTTCCAGGACGATCGCATGAAACCTACCGTCATGAAGGATTTGTGAAAATGTAGTTACCCGTTACCAACTCACCATTTCCCTGGTAATCCTCCAGGAAGGTAACCTGAAACCTACCATCATGAAGGATTCCCGGAAACGTTACCAGATACTAAGTCACATTTCCGTTCAGTTGTCCTCTAGGATGATCACATGAAATCTACTGTCATGGAGGATTCCTGAAAAAGTTACTAGATACTAATTCACATTTTTACAGTCATCCTCCAGAATGATCACACGGAATCTACTGTCATGGAGGATTCCTGGAAAAAGTTACCAGATACTAATTCACATTTTTCCAGTCATCCTCCAGGATGATCACAAGGAACTTGCGGTCATGGGGGATTCCTGGAAAAGTTACCAGATCCTAAGCCACATTTTCCAAGGTCATCCACCAGGACAATCACATGAAACCCACGATCATGAAGGATTCCTGGAAAAGTTACCAGATACTAATCCACGTTTTCCGAGGTCATCCTCCAGGACAATCACATGAAGCCTACCATCATGGAGGATTTTTTAAAATTGTAGTTACCAGTTACTAACTCACAAATTCTCCAGTCATCCCTCAGGAATGATCACATGAAACCCACGATCATGAAGGATTCCTAGAAAAGTTACCAGATTCTGACTCATTTTCCTTCGGTCATCCTCCAGGATGATCACATGGAACTTTCTGTCATAGAGAATTTGTGAAAATGTAATTACAATTACCAGTTACTGACTCGCAATTTCCCCAGTCCTTCAGGAGGGTCACATGAAACCTACAGTCATGGGGGATTGCTGGAAAAAGTGTTACCTGGTGCTAACTTTATTTTTCCGTTCTTCCTCCACGACAGTCACTAAGGTTTTTGTGAGGTGCCAGATGGCTGCTAGGAGACACCCAGAATGATTATTTAAAGGAGACCCAGGCTTTTCCTAGTAATCCTCCTGGATGGCAGGTTTCATTTGACTGTCCTGGAGGATTCCTGGAAATAGTTACCAGATTCTTATTCATAATTTCCAAGGTTATCTTCCAGGAAGGTCACCATCATGGAAGATTTGTTGAAATGATATTACCAGATACTAACTCACAATTTCCCCGATCATTCTTCTAGGAAGGGCACATCAAACCTGTCATGGAGGATTCCTGAAAAAGTCACCAGATAATAGACCACATTTCCTTCAGTCAGCCTTAGGGATGGTCAAATGAATCTTGCCATAATGCTGGAGGATTACTTGAAAGATTTATAAAATACTAATTTGCATTTTTCCCAGTCATCCTCCATGATGATCACATAATCTACTTTCTTGGAGAATTTGTGGAAATGGAGTAACCAGGTACTAACTCTTCCAGTCATCTTCCAGGAAGGTCACATCAAAGCTACTGTCATGGAGGATTCCAGGAACAGTTACCAGATAATAAAATCACATTTCCTATAGTCATCCTCCTGAAACTTGCCATCATGGAGGATTCCTAGAAAAGCTAAATGCTACAAACTCACATTTTCCCCATATCATGGGAAATTGTGCATTAGAACCCAGTAACGCCCTTTCCAGGAATCCTCCATATCATGGAGGATTCCTGGAAAAGTTACCAGATACTAAATCACATTTTCCTTCAGTCATCCTCCATGATGATCACATAGACCCCACCATTATGGAGGATTTGTGGAACTGTACTTACCAGGCTAACTCACAATTTCCACAGTTATCCTTCAGGAAGGTCACATGAAACCTACTGTCATGGAGAATTCCTGGAAAATGTGCTGACAGGTACTAACTTACAATTTTCCTGGTCATCCTCCAGGATGGTGTGTGAGGTGCTGGATGGTTTATTTCAATAAAAAACAGACTTTCTCTAATAGTCTCCCAGGATATCAGGTTTCACTTGGCTGTCCTGGAGGATTCCTGGAAGTGGATTTACCAAATACCCAAAATGTCCCCCAGTCATCCTCCAGGAAAGTCAGCATCATGGTGGATTCCTGGAAACGGAGTTACCAGGTACAAGCTCACAATTTCCCCAGTCACTCTTCAGGATGACTACATAAAACATACCATCATGAAGGATATGAGTTGACAGATTCTAACTCAAAATATCCTCATTATCCAAGACTGCTGCATGAAATTTACTGTCATGGAGGATTTCTGATAGATACTAACTCACATTTTCCCCAGTCATCCTTCAGTATGATCATGAAGGATATGTGGAATTATAGTAGCCAGGTACTAACTCACAAATATCATCATCCTCCAGGAAGGTCACATCAAACCTACTGTCATGGAGGATTCCTGGAAAAGTTACCAGATAATAAAATCACATTTCCTTCATTCATCTTCCAGGACGGTCAAATGAAACTTGCCATCATGGAGGATTCCTAGAAAAGTTATAAGATATGAACTAAAATTTTCCCCAGTCATCCTCCATGATGATCACATAAACCCCTACCATCATGGAGGATTTGTGGAACTGTAGTTACCAGGCACTAACTCACAATTTACCCAGTTATCCTCCAGGAAATTGACCTGAAACCTACTGTCATGGAGAATTCCTGGAAAATGTGCTGGCAGATACTAACAATTTTTCCAGTCATCCTCCAGGACAGTCACTGAGGTTTGTGTGAGGTGCTTGGATGGTTTATTTAAATAATAACCATACTTTATTAATCCCCCAGGATGGCAGGTTTCACTGGCTGTCCTGGAGGATTCCTGGAAATGGAGTTACCAGATACCCAAAATTTCCTTAGTCATCCTCCAGGATGGTCACCATTCCTGGAAATGGAGTTACCAGGAACTGTTCAGGATGACTACATAAAACCTACCACCATGAAGGATTTGTGGAAAGTTAGCTGCTAGGTTCTAACTCAAAATTCCCTCATTATCCAAGACTGTCGCATGAAACTTATCGTCATGGAGGATTTCTGATAATGTTATCAGATATTAACTCACATTCTCCCCAGCCATCCTTCAGGATGATCATGAAGGATATGTGGAATTATAGTAGCCAGGGACTAACTCACAAATATCCTCATCTTCCAGGAAGGTCACATGCAACCTACTGTCATGGAGGTTTCTCGGAATAGTTACCAGATACTAAATCACATTTCCTTCGGTCATCCTTAGGGACTGACAAATTAAAGTTGCCAGGATGGTCAAAAGAATTGTGGAGGATTACTAGGAGAATTATAAGATACTCACATTTTCCCATCATCCCCCATGATGATCACATGAAACTAATCATGGAGGATTTGTGGAAATATAGTAACCAAGTACTAACCCAAAATTTTCCCAGTCATCCCTCAGGGAGACCACATTGAACCTACTATTGTGGAGGATATTTTGAAATGTCTCTAACAGGTACTATGTCAGTTTCCCTGGTCATCCTCCAGGACGTCACGTCATTGAAGATTCCTGATAAGTTATCAGATACTAACTTACATGTTCCCCAATTATCCTTCAGGATAATCATGAATTACTTGTTGAACTATAGTAACCAGGTAATA